CAAAATAACCAAATAGCCACATTTTTTTACACAATTTTTTTGTCTTTTTTTTAATTTTTTTGGATTCAGGAAGTCTCAAACGTGGAAATTTGCAAAAATAGTCGGAGGGTCAAACTTGACACGATTCCAATATAGTTATGTAAACATAATGGCCTGAAAAGTCAATAATGTGAGATTTTCATATTTTTAACATTGCTTTTTAAATGAATTTTTACCAAACTTTGGATAAATATTACATAGATAGATTAATAATTTCATAATTTACCAAATGTGATTTTATATTTATGATAAATCCAGTTTCTACTTTGCAAAATAAAGCAGATATTGTCTTATAAATACAAGCAAAGTCTTGTGCATCTCAACCTAAAAGGACGATTATATAACTCCACAGAAAATCTCTTAAGAAGGTTAGAAATCTCCCAACAAAGAACTGCAAAGGAATTTCTTTGGCAGAGTCATAAAAACCACAAAAAATTGCAGGAGGAAAATTGAGACAAAGATTCTGTTTTTGTGAAATTGGCACAAACGTATTAAAAACTAGTGAATATACAATACAATGCAGTCATGATTATCAAATAGAAATAACTTTAGAATGTCTTTTGATAAATGAATCTTAAATACTATATAGTAGAGATAACAGAGACTTATCACACCGCTACTGAGGCCTTGAGCTAATTTACTATAAAATATTGGAGCCATGATCTGTTTATAATAAAATTTCTAATTGATAAGCATTACTTTGGTGTAGATCTACAATATATAACTAAATATTCTTGTAAGGCTGATGAAGGTCTTTTCTACCAAAATACATACCAGTAATAAAGATGCATTCTGACAATAGAAGTGTCATTTTGATGTCTCAATAGCAATGTGATGTCTCTGTTACCTCTACTACACACTATTCAAGATTCATTCAAGATTCATTCAACATTCATTCAGACAAGCTCTTATATATTAGAATATCTTCTTCATGATACAGTAAATAATTTTTTACTCATAAATGAAATTAAAATAATGCATTAAGGTTTATATCATGATATAAAAAAATGCTTACAAAATTTTCTATAATTCAAGAAATCCATTCAGAACCCAAATGGCTGCATTACTGTATTTACACATAACCTATGATTTATTACTGTACAAGTGTTACTTTTAGTTAAATTTTTTAAAGAAAATTTTTTTCTTGTAGAACATAGCATAAAATTTATAAGAAAAATTTTGCATAAATTATTCATGTTGATTTAAAGTGATTTTAATTTATCTGTCAAAAATAAGTCAAACATTGTTATTTTGATATTTATACAGGTTGAAAACTGGCGTCATCTGACTTCTAATATTTTTCTGTGTTCTTCACTTATACAAACATGTATAGGAATATCCCAATATTGCTGATACCAATACTGTATTGATACTTTCCTTCAATACTGAGTACTTTTTGTACTTGATACTTTTGTTCCCATACCGATACAAGTATCAATACTTTACTTCAGTTATTAGATCTGATATTGTTACATTTTTCACAGACCAAAAGTCCGACCAAACCCAAATTTTGCAGCCTAATGTTAAAAAACTAAAATGGAATTGTACACTATTTTTGGTTAAGTTAAACTTATATAAAAAAATATTAATGACCAAAAAATCAATAAATATATTACATTAAATTTCATTTCCAGAATCTATATATGTTTAGAGTTCTGATTATTATATATAAAGAAATATCTAGTTAAATATTATGCAATACTTTTGTTTGTTAATCAACTTGGACTGACAGTGATTTTTAAAATAAACTACAATTTATATACACTTGTTTGCACTGACATTTGTGAAATTTGAATGCGATAAAGAACTTTCAATTTAAAGACACTTTTACCAACAATTTCTTATTTACCCCTATCCCATGTATAGCAGCATCCACAAAGTCCATTAGCAGGACTCTGGATCTGGGCTTCTTTTGTATACAAAAGACACCATATGAGTCTAAACTGAAGTACAGGCTTCTGAACCAGATAGCAGGGATTCAATTCCCTAGGAGTAAACAATAAAATATTAATTGCTGCTCTGGGGCCCACTTGGCCTTCATTGTAATGAGTACAATATCTTCTCAGCAGTAAAAACAACTGGAAGGAGATGCAACAGACAGAACAGCAACAGCCAGCAAGATTTCCAATTTCAATACTCTATGCTGATAATGACTAGTATCAATACTTTACAACTACTTGTGATACTGGTATCAATACTTTTGTGGTATCAGAGCATCCCTACACATTTACTGTACAAGAAATACAATTTCTGTATAAAACCAAATACCATAACTAGTCATGTTAATAGATATTATACAATGTGCATTCAGGAAGGACGAGCAAAAACAAAAATATTAAAGATGCAATTTTTTTACATTTAGTGATAGTAATCATAGAACTACCTTAAGTGCATACATGTAATAGTTATTACCTTCATTAAAAAAAGTATGAAGTAGCAAAATTCTTCATGGAAGGTTTAGTACAGACCCACTTACATCCAGGGCCATCAAGAGGAGAGAGATGGGGATTTTTTCCATAGAGAAAACTTAGGGACTAGAAGTGGTTCCTATCCCTATAAATTAATGTTACTTTTACTAGCCTGCTATTTATTAATAAAGAAACATCCAAATAGTATTTTATTTGTTCAAAAGAAAAAAAGCAAAAGGGACCTGCTCGGGTCCCATTCCAAGCTTTTAAAGGCCTTGTGTACAGCCTTTACAACTATTAGTAATCTGGTGAAACAGAACTGCAATTATTCTGCATGCACCTATTTTGCCAATTTAGCTCTAAATGATTTCTCTTCACTCAGTTTGAAAAAAACAAACCTTTAAAAGAAAAATGATTTGAGTCAATATAACTCATACATTTTCATTAAAAGAAAATTTTGTCATATCTTAAAAGTTCATTTTTCTAAATGTTCCTCTATGTATTGCCTAGCATTGCCATAGTTCAAAACAGACTACATTTGGGGAAACATATAGTGTCTGTGTTTCACTAAATGTTTCTCAATGTGGAGAAATCATTGATGAAATATACTTATACATATATTACATTATATAATAAATATATATATTATATACATTTAAGAGAGCATCCTCAGGATTGATGAATTCTGCTCACTTATCCAAAGTAACAAGATCATCCAGAAGGTTTTTGATTCTTTTCACTTTTTCATGTCTTAGAAGCTTTATGTGACTGTAGCACACTTAAAAATGTTAAAATTCATTATCAGATAATTTTACCATAATTATATATCAGTTTTCATTCTTATATCTTCATTAGCAGATCTAGAAAAACCCAAAGATGGGGCTAGCTCAAAAATTTGAACATTTGAACAAATAATGATTTTTCATTAACATATGCACAATTGTATTGCAGATGTCCTGATAAATCATGTTTGCCAACATAAATGTATTTAAAAACACTGTTCAAACACATATTTTTTTGTATCAATGAAGAAGGCTTAAGTCCCTGTAACCCTTTGGATTAACCCGATTATTTGGTAGAACCATTTTATTGTTCTATCAAATAATCAGTAAATACAGTATATTTATCAGGCCCCCAGTGGCCAAACAGTCTTCGTTCCTTGAACACTGGAGTTCAGTCGTGGGTTTGCACCTCACTCTGATGGGATGGGCATGCAAAGTTTTCCAGGTTTTCTCATCTGTAATGCCTAAATAGGAGCCAGTTTCCCTTAAAAAGACCTCCTGGAAGGCATCCTCTAGGCAGATTGCCCAAATGTTGCATTGCCATATCTAAACAAACAAACAAACAGTATATTTACCAATTACATTACTTTCACTTCTTTCCAGAAAAACAGTAGTGGCTTAGCTGAAAAGACACAAACATCTTTGCTCCAAAATCTCTGAATGCTCCCAATGGGACACATTGTATAAAAACAAATAAGTATAGTACTGCCTTAAAGTAAGGTCACATAACCTCCAAAATTTGGTCACTTATCATTTCTTGCCTTGTCTAATTGAGATGAGGATGTACTGTATTGTACACATGATATGCACTGTTTGTTCATGTATATAATACCTTTTCAATACATAATTGCTCTCATATATGTCCAATAAAACCCTTTCATGATGATTCTGTAAGAAATATTTTGACTATCTGTGTGTTAGAAAACTGACCAATGAAAGGTTTCACTAAATCTCCACATAACATATACCATAGTGTAAAGCATGAGTGATGATGTACTGTAAGATTAAAGATAGATCCTTATAAATCTTTCTTTGAATACTGCTCCCTTATTCAGATTGCTTCTCTAAAAATGCCATTGACACAGGGCTCATTTAAACTGACTGCTCTATTACCCAGTGTTCTGTTAACAGGAGTCATGCTAATGTAAAACATAGGGGAAAAAATTGGGAAATGGAAAAGTGATGTTTTAAATGAACTGCTCCCTTACCTAGTACTCTGTTAAATTTGCTCAACTATATTCATATAACAATAAATACATATGTTTGAATTTTATAGAATGAAAATGTAGAAAGATTTCCATTTTCATTAATTATGAAGAATTAATATTTCCTTTGAAAAAATTTCCTTAACTTAGTTAAGGAAGTTTTTATTAAGTTAAGGAAATTTTTATTAAGGCAATTTATTTTCTAAAGAAAAAAATAATTTGGTTACCTTAACTAAGCAGTTAATTTTTTGATGTTTCAATACAGTGCCAAGTTTCACACAATCATTTAATTTCCATTATAAGATTACTCTTAACTATCCTAGTCTTGGTGAGATGATAAAAAAAATCTTTTCTTTTAAGTAATATAGTCTAATTTCTGTTTTTCTGTATTGAAAACAATACATAAATTATTCAAAGTTAAATAAAGCATACTTGACACAAAAGTACTCATTAAAATGTAACATTGTGAGTTACTAAAATCAATTTTGGAATAACACAAGTTGGTTTGTAATGAAATTAAAACTATCCAATATATTTATAAACTTTTTAATTTTAAATTAAGGACACAAAATTACAGATTTCCTTTTTATGTATATTATTTACCATAAAACTATAAACAATTTCAATATTAATTGGAAATTTCATTAAGTATTAATTATTTACGTTTAACAGATTTTAATTTAAGAGGAGGCAAAATCCTTTTGTCATATCGTTTGGTGGTATCAACGTAAACACCATTAGGAGGCTCATAGTTTGCATTTGGAGGAGTAGCTGTGGGTCCTTTCACCATAAAAGGAATAAATTGTGTATCAAGCTGTCAAAGATATACAAAAAAATCAATCAAAAAAATGAATCAAAATAAATTTTTTAATTATTTAGCACACATTAATGCAGGAGTGGCCAACAGTTTTTGCTCCCGTGCCAGATTGGAAAGAAAACTTTTTCCATCGGCCAAATCAGAATCTGCCCTAGGAAGATTTTGAGGTGGTACAAGATCTCATTGTGGTGTCTCATCCTCCTTACACTTTATAGATGCTCTTTGCATAAAATAATATATATCTTATGCTCTTATACAGTTCTGTGGTGTCACCCCATGGAGACTGAATTGTAGATAGAGATTACAGATACATTTTTCACATTATCATGCTTTATCAACATTCTATGCTGTCTTAAGAGATTTGTAATGGAGGGTTAACTCTAAACAACAGTGAGTTGTTGATAGGCTGTATGTTGGCCATGCCTGCATTAATGCAAAGTTTTACTAAAACAAATTAAGCTTCTTTGTTTGATTCCATGATTATAGGCACTTTAATAATGCATGTAATATGTTAAAATGAGTTTTAGTCAACCATGGATAGATTAATTATGGTAGTTAAAATCACTAATGTAGAATATCCAAAACAGGGTCTTCACTTGTTCTTTCTCACACCAATTAATATGTATGATGATAAGGAGTAATTGACAATGTAACCAGATTGGACTTCTTTAACAGATAAAGAATATTGTTCAGCTTTTTGCTCTCCTTGCCTATTCCTATTTCAGCCAGTCTATTTGACACTTACAATCAAAATTTGTTGTCTGAAAGAGTAGTTGAACCAATTCTTTGTTTTTGTTTTAAAATTTTTCATATGTAATGTAACTGTTTCAGAATATTGAAGGTGGTACATTGTGTTTTTGTAAGGTTGGTTATAGACAACAGTGTCTACTATATACAGGTAAATATAATAGATGTCCTATTTAAAGGGTTTCAGGTTTAATATGCTTTAAGTAGAGGTATCTGCTATTCAGGAGTGTCTGTTAATGTATTATAAAATGACCATATTTTCTGAATTTCAATCTGACATTCTAAAAGTTGAGGTAGGAAATATAGAGTGTGAAGTTGTTAATTGAATGATTTTGTTGCTTAATAATGTTATTGTTTATATCAATGAATAATATTTACTTATAAATGTATATGGGATAATCCGGGATATTTTATTCAAAACTGGGACATTTTTCCAAGCTGGGACAAAGAGCCAAAAACCAGGACATCTGGTCACTTCACATTAATGGAGGTTTCACTATACATATATCCTAACAACTTACAAGATTTCTTTAACTTATTCCTAACTCAATTTGGGAAAACTGCACTGTTACTGATTCTTTCTTAATTTATTCTTCAAAAATAAAAGACAAAACCAATGTACATGACCTGATGCAATGAATTAAGGTTTTACAATAATGATAAGCTACAGACAGTCAAAATGCATATCATTATTGTAAAATCTTAATAAAATCATTGCATCAGGTCGTGTTGTTTCTGTTTTCTATTTCAGAAGAATTTTTTTTTAAATAAAGTTATTCCTAATTCTCTTAAATTGTAAGTTTCAGCTCTGTCTCATCTCTCTTCACAACACAATCTAAGCCATTTATTCTAATAACATCTAATGAAACTATTCCTTACTCTATCTTTCACTGTTACTTTATCAATCTAGTTAAGCATTCTCATCTCAGCTATTTAATCTGTTCTTTCTTTATTCTTCAACATTCCAATTCAATTAATATAGCTGATGTTGTCCTGCAAAATTTGCTTCCAATTTAATTAAAAACTTCCTATTTGCAAAGAAATCCACTACTCCATCTTAATATTTTTCCCTCATTGTCAAACAATTTAATAACAATTATCATAAGGTCCCTCCATCAGTTTCTTCATCTTTGCAATGATTGATTGTTAAAAGAGTTGTCGAAGGATGGTTCTGGAAGTGAACTTATCACTGTTTCTTAGAGCTTGACATTTCTTGCATTTGAATTTGATTATCCAAGCAACAGAATGTCAAGAAATGTTGATTCCAGACTTCTTAATCTCCTTTGATAAAAATCTTCATTTAGAAAGACTTTTTATTTGGGTATCATTTTCTGATATGTTTTGCAAAGCCATTTTAGAAAAGACTGAATAGTGAAAAATTGTAAACAGAAACAAAAACTGTTATATAGAAAGTGCAAAATTATAAAATTCAGGATGTTCTAAAATTGCAATTTTCAGCATTTTCTTTCTGAAAATAGAAAGAGAGTATCCCTTTCTATTTTCAGAATATAGATTTAACATGTAATAGCAACCTTGGAAATTGCATCACCTATAATATATACCAAAAGGGATTCAACAAATGTGCAAAGCAGCATATTTAACCTATAATCCTGATTTATGATGATAACATATGTAGTACAGAAAATTTATTTCATTAATCTATATTATTTTTAATACATTAATGAAATGAAAATTCCATTAATAATTATTAGTAAAATGAATAAATGTACCTGCAAAGCCGCTTGATACAAGTCTTCAGATTCATTCTTTAATTCCAATAAAGCATTTTCTTGAGCCATCATAATGCGATCTAGCATATTTAATTCATTTTCAAATTGTTCCTTTTTATATTTATGCCATTCTTTCATAATGTTTGCTCTTTCTTGTTCCTCTTTTTCTGTTAACTTTTCAACTTTTCTAGTCCTTTTACTAAAAAAATTTTTTATTACTTCAAAAACTTGTTTATCATCAAAATAAAACAAAGAAATAAGCAAGCATTAAATTCATCAAAATATAAAGCATTTGAATTTTTAAATTTTCTAATTTTTCATCATCTAATTCAAAATTACCAAGTTCTCAAATTTATAAGTTTTATAAAATCTAACTTTTAAGGAAACATGCCTTTTTTTAAATTCTTTCTACAAACAGGGCACTTTTTTCATATCAATTATGAGTTCAGACAGATCCACAAGGGAGTAGATGGTGAGGGAAGGAGTGTAACATATTTGAGAAAGACCTATGAAAATTTTCTGGGGTTTTCAACCAGATTCAATCCCAGGTTCCACAGAACAGTACACTGATGCCTTAACCACCTCAGCCATCAACAGAAACATGCTACAAGTAGTAACTGTCTGACTTATATGAATTTAATAGGCAGAGCTGTTTTAAAAACTTTTGAGATCCTCAGCTTGAATTTTTAAACAGACACAGAATGAAAATATCTAGGAAACCAAACTTGAATTATACTAATATTCTAACAATAAAATCAAATTAACTGCATGGCTACAACTTGGATATCTACAGAGTAATTATATAAATAATACACAATATTAGTATAATCAAATTTTAGTCAATAGTTAATCCAGTTCTATCATTAGATTATAGAACAAAGATAGTAATAAGCAGTGAGTTGAGGTCCTAAGAAGGCAAAGCCTCCAGCCATGGCTAGATATGCTCAAGTGTTAATGCAGCCCTGAACATATTTTTCTCAATAAATGCAATCTGCATATGTAATATTTTTCATATTTTTCACTTTATAAACAGTTTGTCATCAAACTGATATGCAAAATCAAATAATTCATGTTAATTTGCCTGAAAACAAATACACAAATAACTAAATATAGATTGTTCTTACATTATGACATGTTCAACGTACATTATTAAAATTAAAAGAAAACTAAATGAGTAAATATACTGTATATCATGCCATATTCCTGTGCATATAAGAGCATGTTCTTATATCCAAGTATGACATCTGAACAAAAATATGGAAGATTTTGTAATTGTTGTGGAAAAGTTATTTTGATCCTGAAATAATCAAATTCACAAAAATATTATTGAACTTTTAACAATTATCAAATATAACAGACAAATTAAAGTATTTGCACACCAAATGTCGTAGATATTTGCATAAATTGAAAAGTTACAGTATTTTAAACAAAGTAAGAGTTGAACTAAAGTATGGAATCATGCTGATTAATATTTTATAGGGCCACCTTTTGTCCTAATTACAGCCATATTTTTTAATTACAAATAATTAAAAAATTACTTACTCTAATTCCATTACTATATTTTTTGGAATTTCACATTCATCTAATGGTTTTAATTTTTTAGCAGTTTTCTCTAATCTTCTAATGCCTTTTTCTATTTTCTTCCTTTTACGTTCTTCTCTTTTTCTAAGTATAGCTGGATCTACTCTTTTTTTCTTCTTTAATGGTTCTCCACTGTTTAAATAATTATTTATTTATTTTATTTGATAAATTTTTTAAACATTTTGCTAAGTAAAATTATTTTATATTAAAACACTGTTTCATCAATACAATAATTTGCATTGATTAATATTGTATAACTTTATCATAATTCTTTGGTATAGCTCAAGACTTAAGGATAGAGAGCAGTTTAAAATTATTTATTTATTTCTTAATGAGACTTGACAGAACAGTGTATCTCAAACTTAGAAAGTTAAAAAAATACTTCTCAAAAAAGGGAATTTATATACTAAGGTCATTCTAAAAGAAAAGAATGTTTTGATCTGACAAGCTGCACAGTTCTCCCACTACCCCCGCCACCACATCATGGACCTTCTCATTTTTTCACGTCAGTCTGGCACTAACAGTGAACCTCAATGATTGTTTACTGTTTATAGTGTGACTTTGAAATGTGTGACAAAATTAAAGATCCCACCAAGTGTGAGGTTCATAGTGTAATATGCTTTTTGAATGCAAAAAAAGTCCACCCTATCAAAATTTACAGACAGATAACTGAGGTTCATGATAATGTGATGAATAAAGCTTCAGTTTGAAACAAACAGTGGGGATTGTTGTCCAGAGGCATTGTGCTTCTTCAGGATAACACATGTGCGCATGCCGCTGCATTGACGAAGGACTTGCTTCAGCAGTTTAAGTGGGAAGTTTTTGAACATCTTCCTTATAGCCCGGACTTGGCTTCGAGTGATTACCATCTTTTCCCAAAATTGAAGGATTTTTTTTGGCTGGGAATCAACGAACTGAAAGAGACCATTAATGACTTGGCAGTAACTGAGTGTGCAGAAGGCATAGAAAAGCTGATGATACACTATGAAAATGTTTAAATTTGTATGGCAACTACATAGAAAAATAGCTAAGGTATCATGTGTTGTAAAATAAGTTTTGTTTCATTATCTTAAATAAAAATATCTAGAAAATCAAACATTCTTTACTTTTAGAATGACCCTCATAAAACTGGTACTAAATCAAGTATGCAGGTTAAACTGAAAAATCTCAAATAATAAAAATAATATACAGTTAAACCTCAGTTTTCAAACTTAATTCATTCCTAAAACTTGTTTGAAAACCAATTTGTTCTCAAACTGAAACAAATTTTCACACAAACAATACAGAATAGGTTAATCTGTTTCAGACTANCTTTTGTATATATATATATATATATATATATATTAGAATGCACATAATATATATTAAAACTGTTATTAAAATATCCCATAATTTATAATATCATGGTATACAAAAATTTTCATTTTTTCTATTATAGTTTATACACAAACTGATCAGAACTATACACAAGTCCAATTACAGGAGAGTCTTCGTAATCACAAGAGAGTTTACAATTAATCAAGAGTTAATAATACCTGGATTCATTGGATTGTTAAATCCTTGAGTTGGCCAGCTGGGTCAAAGGAAAATAGGTAGATGGGCCCCAGATGGGTAGAATGCTAGATAGTTCAGTAAGGAACTGTCTAGTAGTAAAGAAGTAAGACACTAGCAGGTCAATGATGGGTAGGTATTTGGTGACCCATCTGGAATAGGTAGGTTAGACACTAGTATGTCTAGTAATAGGTAATACCCTTGGGGGTATCGGTGGAACAGAACAAAATAATAACGGAGCATGGCGGAATCCTTTTGGTTCACAACAAGGCAGGTAATGAACTCTAGATGACAGGCAAATTCCCGTCATCTGATTCTCTCTTTTATTTGGGGGTCCCTCCCCTTTAATTCCTATGCCCACTTTTGGTAACGTTGGTTGGCTAATCCAATAGCAATTTTTGAAGTTAAGTTCCCGATACATAGTCAAAAGTAACACATTCAGAATTTGTGTCATCTCTGGACAAGGAAGCAAGTTCATGGGAAATAGAATAACTTCCTGCTAATTTTAGTTGAGAGAGAAAAAAAATTTTTTTAATATGTGAATATTAGAACTTATTTTCTTTTGTAATCCCTAGAATAAATTTTTTTCAATCTCACAATATCGAAAATAAATTATTTAAAAATTTAGAACTAGTAAACAAACTAGAAAAAACCATCAACAAAGTTCTCGCCTCCTATTGGATAAATACCTTAGTAGGTATTCATGGAAAAGTAATCAGCTGCCAAACATGGAGTAGATAGTGCAATTCACTGAACTGACTATTAAAATACATTCTGGTCATCAATTCTTCTAGATGTTATTAAATGACCATTAAATTCAAAGTTAACAAGCAATTATTTATTGTGGCATTGTCACAATGCCAGGCTGCAATTTTTTGTCAAAATGCACTTAAGTTTAATAGTGTCTTGCCCCTGTATATCATACTTTTCCTGTTAGCAATAGAGTCGTGCCAGTCACATATCTCTGTTCAAGAGAAAATTTTTGAATTGAAATAACATGACTTCCAGCCCAAAGTGGAAGTTTGTATATAGTTAATTGTGACCTCCTGCCCAAGCTTTTCATATATGGTCTTAACTTTCATCTATCTAGTATCATTCTCAAGATTAAGAAAGGACAGACAGACAAACAGACAGTCAACAGTGGGAATTTATAGGTTTACAATTTTTTCAAACTGCAGCCCAACAAGAAAAGCTTGTCACAGTTTTTTTTCTCTGAGTACATTGTCAAAGAAACTTATTGTCAGATTGATAAAGGCATTTTCTAAAGTGTCTACTACTACTAAAGCCAGAGCCAATAAACCTCCCATTAATAGATTTTTGATTATTACAGTAAAACTTTATTTGCAGATATTTTTAAAATTTTCCCATAGTTCTTAAAGTTTTAATTTATACATTAGGAGACATTTTACTGTTATTCAATTATCATTTCTAGATAAAAAACATTTCTTGATAATGACAAAGCAAATGTCTGTCTAGTTAAACTCCTGAGAGGAATAATAGTTTCTTTTACAACTTTTCTATTATAGATATCTATCCAAAAGACTGTCCAATAAACATTATAATTCTGCTTTAGAATTTCACCAATTAGAACAATAAAATATAAAATGCTTGGCTACAAATATTGACAATATTTAATTTCTCTTCTTCCATTAACAAACCATTTCTTAATTTTATATTTTTACTTCTACCTAAGTTTAAACTTCTTAAATTTATTAAATTTTATATATTTCAAATTAAATTTTTAAATAATTTGTTATAAAAACTTTTATTCTAATTCACATTCAATGATAACTATATTTTAAAGTTAATGAGTCAATTTTAAATGTGTTCTACATCATTAATATCTGCTGCATGCTTATAATGGCTATAGAATGGTCAAAAACATTACTTAATAAGGAACAATTCTGGTTTCTTACACATAGCAGTTTGGCCTTTAATTCATCTGAAATTTATAATTTATGCTTCATTATCACCATAACACTGTCAGACATTTATATTTTATAGCCTTTTTTGGTCTTATTTACAAATATTTTCAGCTTATATCCTTAGTTTCTTTCTCCTAATCATTGTATTTGATGAGATGATAATGTTAAATCTTCTCCCTACAAATATTGATTTGTTTAGCCCAGTGTTTCTCAACAGGGGCGATATCGCCCCATGTGGACGTTTTTCCATGTTGAGGGAGCGATATGTAACAATTTATATTTTGGGGGGAGAAAAACAATTTTCTGGGCGATATAGTAAAACATTATATTAAGATTAATTAAATATTTTATTTGTTATATCGTACAATAATTAAACAAATAACATTATACTAGTCACTAGTCTATTCAATGCAGTATGAATATGGCGTTAGCCCTGGTCCACGGCATCGGAATTTTGAAGTGAAGGGGCAATATTATATAATGGTTTTATTGAAGGGGACGACAATTCGTTAGAGGTTGAGAAACACTGGTTTAGCCATTTCTTCTCAATGTTTATTTTATGTAGGGAATGTAAGGAAAGTTATTTTATGGAGCATATAATTCAGAATTACTCTGAATAAATCTATAATTTTACAATTTTATTTTGTTCTCATATACATATATATGAATTTCAATCCTCATAGTTGTTATCCCAGATTGGTAACCTGTAGCCTGGATATCTTTATCAAATTAAATTTATTTTTAAAATATTCTTAACTGATTGAGAAAATATTTAGTTGGTCATTCAATTATGATCAGCTTAGAAAGAACATTGCAAAATTGATCACTTTAGAAATCTGAATACTGTTACAATATTCTGGATAAAGCAAAACTAATCAAACATCATTACATTTTCATTATTTCTAGCCCAATAATATTCAGCTTTGGTTGGTGGATAGCTTTAAAACAAAAATATTGTGTATCCCAAATTATTAAAATTATATTTATAAAAAAGAAATTTAACATAAGATTAATAATGAATTTAATTTTATCTTTTACAAAAACAGTCACAATAATCTGAAATAAATTTACTTTTTCAAGTACTGTAGATCATTTGAAGCTCTGATATAATCTGTGCATTAATTGAGAATTACAGTACAGTAAAGCATCGATTATCTGACTCAATTGGGGACTCAGATTGGTCGGATAACTGAAAAAATTGGATAACCGAAAAGAATGAAAAAAATACATTATTAGTATAGTATATTAGTATATCTCATGTAATTAGTATATTAGTATATCGCTATTAACCTACTTCACGTTGAATTTTCATCAATGTTAAGCATAACAAAATTTTTTTTAAATAATAATCATCGCTATTGTATCGTTAAAAATTATTTTTAAATTATTTTATTGTTCACAAAACAAACAACCACTCATAATTAGAAAATTAAGTCTCGTTTAAATACTGGGCTCCCTTTCATGGTCGAGCTAGTGTTGCCAGCTAAAACACGCAAAAATTTAACAAAAATAATATTAAAATAGCCAAGACATACCCAAATATTGTAGCGCCACATCACTAGCAGACATTTGAAATTTGCCAACTAGAACGGTCGGTTAACCGACGTGACAGTTAATCGGGGGTCGGATAATCAATTCTCTACTGTAATTATTATAGTGCATAAATCATCTAATATATCAGACCATTTTAATGTAAAAACTAAATTTATTTCTAGTTAATATAAACTACCCTTTAATCCAAAGTCTCCCCAAACCATTACTGATCTTCCACTTTGCATCCTTTTGCTGCAGAAGTGTTCTTTCTTCCTTCTGTAGATCCTGCCAGTAAAATTTAAAACCATCTGGTTTGTCTAAATGAAACTTTTCTCCACTGAAAATAACTTTGGTCCATTCCCTGTCCCAGGTCATATGATTTTTGGCCCAGGTGAGCCTAACCCTTTGTGGTGCAATTTAAGATAAGGTTTTCTCTTCAAACTTTTGAATTTAGCTTTTCCATATTTCAACAAAGTGTGATAAACAGTTGATTTTGAAACACAACCTTGCAAATATTTTGCTATTTGCCTTACAGAACATTAGTTGTTTCTTGCCAATTGAAATATATGCCTTTGTTATCAAGTAGTAACTTTTGTTTTTCATCAACAATTTGATTTTCCTGTTGAGCCTCCTTTCTGCTGCAAAAATTTGCTTATTGTTGACTTAGCTCTATTTAGTCTTTGAGATATTTCACTTTAGGAAATGCTTTCAACTCTTCAGGCATTTTGTCTTTTTCATAATCACTTAAATCATATTTTTTTTTATCCATAGTAACAAACAACTTTCCAATGCTTCAAATGTGTCAAATATTTTCATACACTTACACAGGAACGATATAAATATGAAAATGCAAATTAATGTGCATATATTTTCCTAGAAAATATTGGTACCTTTCGGTTAACAGGACACCGATATTTATAGCAACAGGTAAGATTCAAGCTCTGAATGAGGAGTTTAACACTACCTCCAAAAGTATACAAGATAACTTCAATATGTGAAAAAGTTAAATATTAGTAGAAATGAAATAATAGTTTGATGATAAATCCAAATGCAGAGAAACTTCAATTCAATTTTTGTCAAATAACCTGAAAAAACAGTAGATACGGAAAATAATAGATGAAGGTGACTATACAAAATAAAAAAATTACATTTGCCCATACATATTTACTCAATCAAAAACATATACCAATGATTTTTTCCCCACTATCATTTAAGTCCAATCTGCATTGTCTTTTTAATAAAGTCATTAATCTTCATTTCTTTAGTAACACTTTACCTTTTCAAATTGAACAATAAACTTTCAATATTCACAATAAATGTCTCTTTCAGTGGCATCATGAACATACTAAAAAACTAATATCAACTCAAACACATGAAAGTTCTTCAGTGAACTTGACACTGGTTGGACTCTGTTTCGTCATTATCACTGCCCTTTCATCATTATCACTGCCACTACTTTTTCATCATTATCACTACCATTTATCTGCCAGTTTGTTGTCTGGCAGATAAATTGTACACTAACTGTACACAGTCCAAACTATTACTTGATGTATCATATTCCAAAATCATCAACTGCTGTTGATTCTACCAATGCAGATATACATTTGTGCACATGGTGTTGCTCTTAAAAAATTATCAGTACTGGATTAAAGCTCCTCAAAATTAATCAAGGAATGATTGATGTGGATTTAATTTCCTAAATCTAAGAAGAATTTGTTCAGGGACATTAGAAATTGAAAGATTTTTCCAGGAAAATGATGCATCTGGGAAAAATAGATTGAAGTTTCACTGTAAATAGAGCTAATCCAGAAATTCCATACTTAGAACATTAGTGTATCAACTTTAATATTAAATATTGAGAGTCAATAAAATTTAAGATTAGTAGCAAACTTTTGTTTAACTTTATTTTCAACTAGCTGCAAGATCCTGCTTCGCTGGGTTTTTATTTGTATGTAATAGTATAGTTTTATATATATATATATAAAAGACTGTTTTTCTAAGTAATCTAGAATCTAGCTGCAACGACCCACTTTGCTGGGCAAAAAGTAATGATAGTAAAGATTAAGATAATTACATTATAGCTAATCTTACCCATTTTCACAAAATGCAAGAATTAGATCCCCCATTTCCAGACTAATTAGAGAATTTTTACGTTTAGTCAAACGAACAAATTTCAACGTTTCTGGAACGTTTTCAATCGTTCTATAATCGAACCAATTCGAACAAATTCGAAAAAATCGAACAAAACATTCGAAATAGAAAGCCACTTTCAACTACTTTTAGCCTCATATCTCCCGCACCCTTATAGCTATCGAGACGCAACCAACCCTATGCACGAATGGAGACTTGGGGCTACCACCACATACAAACACCATTCACGTGCGATGTGTAGTTTTGGCGAAAAAGTGAGATATAGGAACATACATGTCCATTTTTATATATATATATATATATAAATTTATATTATTACAGTAAATAACCTTAATTTTATACTCCACATTTCATTCACCTCTTTCAACTATTCAGTATACTTTGTATTAATACAGTAGAATCCTGCTAGTCCGAACTAATTGGGACCAAGCCCTATTCAGATTAGCAAATTTTTGGATTAGCCGAATAATTGAAATGCAGAAAAGCAAGCAGTAAAACAGATCCAGTTTATATAGATCCAATACCATCAATGACTTTTGTTTCTGTTTTTGTGTGCAAATACTGTACAGATCTGCTGTTTTAATAGACCATGTCAAACACTGATTTACATGTATTAATTTTGTATAGTATTACAATAAAATACTTAAAATATTGGAGTACAATTTTTTTTGTTGTGAAATTCTAAATCTTTTTGTACCATTAATACCATTTAAATTCAACTAGAAAATACAAAAAACATATATTTTGCAAGCTAAAAAATTTCCTCTCCACCAATTGAAACATGTTCAGATTAGGTAGACATTCAGACTACCAGTACTCTACTGTATACAGTAAGGCCCAGCTCTGTGCAACCAATACATTTCAAGACCCTCACATAAGCAGAAATTTATGTAAAGTAGCAAACCCCACTAATTAAATATTTCCTACACTAACATACCTATCACACATTTTTTTTATATGTATAAATAAGACAAACAGTATATTAACAATAAATAGCATGATGCCTTAAATCATAAAAAACTAAAAATTTTCAGAAGCAGACATTCTCCTTTTCTCACTAAATCTAAAATTTTAATTTTTTTCCTTTAAAGTAGGACTTTATGGCCTTTCTTTGACATATCAGAGCTACAGTATCACTATCCTTACATTTTGGAACATGTTTGCAAATTAGAATAAATGAAACAAAGAGAAAAACTGATATCACAAGGACACAATGTGTTACAAGCATGGGCATCTACAAAAACTTTTTCAGAGGGACAAAGCTTGGAGACAAATAATTACATCAATAAATTTATATTTAATTATTTAATCTTTTTGGGGTTTTTTTATAAGTAGATTATACAGAATACAGTATTGCATCAATAGAAAAAGACAGTAAAGCATCCCATGATTCAGGATGTAAGGTTACATACATATCTCAATCACTTTTATGATCATAATTTGTGAAATTTTTTACTCGATACCAGGTCTGCAAAGGTGGACCTGGTATCGAGTAAAAAATGCTGTGAATGCCCATGATTACAAGCAATAACTCTGGACAAAGATCAATGCAAGACTTGATATTTAATGAAAAACAGAAATGAATTACAGTAGAACTTTTCCAGAATGAGATGAGCATCACTGAGAAAGATGCTGGAAAACTTAATGGCGCAGATTTATCACACAACTAAGAATGTTTATTTTATGTATTTTTCATTTATTTCAGATTGCCAATAATGTAAACCCAAAGTTGTGTGTGGCAAGTCTGCATATGATAGTGTCCTACTGTATAAATTGTTAGACAATTATATTGCTATAGTTCACAACAGAAATTAGTAATTAAAGATATCAAAAAATAAGCAACAAGTAAAACAATCTTTTACTAGTATCACTTAAATATTTATTTATTGTATCAATTACAAAATTTATTTTTTATCCTTTAATTTCTATCAATATTGTTCAACAAAATTTTTCAAAACGCATCCTCATTGCAAACTGTGCTAATATTAAAAACACTTCTTTACCACCACACCAGAGACATCCGGACACACCGGTAACAGGTTAGAAAGAGAATTTATATTAAAAACACTCCATCATCATCTATTAATTAATAACTTTAATATTCTTCTAACCATTAAATGATTTAAGTCTTTAAAATGGCAAGATTTTGGGCACATTTCCTCGTCAAGCAGCTAAGTAAGCAAACCAATGACAGATCGTTTCTTATGAAATGATCTATGTCATTGGTTTGCTTACGTTGCTGCTTAACAAGTAAACGTGCCCTTTTATCTCTGTCAGATGCCATCAGCATCTAATAGGCATCCCTCAATAAGATGTATTATTGACGTAGTTATTTGTTGTCATACGACTCATACCCAGGACACGTGGTGGTTCGCACCTTATGTACACTACTACATTTACTGAATACATATAACATATAGACTATCATAATTCCAGTAAGCAGTTGAAAACAATGTTTACAAAAAATTAGGGCAACTTTTTCCTGTAAGGCTGACTGACCTAACCAGAGATGTATGGTAAGCTTTGGCCAGACTATCTCTCCAAGGGTCACTTTCAAACCTATAGCACTTTTGACTTAATATACAGTATATATACACAGTATACATCATATATATTACAGTATATATTCTGCAGTGTCCAGCAGAAATAAAATACTGCTGTCTTTATTTGAATGTTTGCATTGTAAATATAAACATTTTTAAGTTCCACTCATTCTCTAGATTTTCAAATATATAAAGCAATCGAATATGAATTAAAATTCACATTTCACTAACCTTAAATGCGTACACACATGCGACAACATAAACTTGATGGAAGCCGCCATTTTGTTTTCTTCGATATTTTTTTTTTTTTTTCTTTCTTTTTCAATGATCGAAAATGAATAATTATACAAATTATATGTTATTTAAAAAGTAAAAACAATTAAACAGCATTTATATACTTTTAAAAGATTATGTTAAAAGAATTCTATATATTTTTGTAAATTTGAATTTTACATATTTAAAAATTAATATCGAATAATGGCGCTGCGGTAGTTAAGTACTGTATTTATTTAAAAAAATAAAATAAAATAAAATTGTGCATTCAGTTTAATTAAAAATCCCAAAGCGATAAACATCGGCCAATAGCAATATGCAAATTTAAAATTTAAAAATTTTTTTAAATTTTCCTACTTCCAATAAAAAACTATTTTATTAAATTTAAATTTATTCGCTAATAAAATACATTTATAATAAAAAACCCACTCATTATTGTTTTTACTCGATTTAAAATGTCGACCAATCAGGATTCTCCTATCGACAGATGGTGCTGCACACTGCATCCACTCGATACGCTAGCTTTGTGCCGCTTCGATCGCTTGTCTGCGAGTTCGTAGATCTCGAGTATTTAACTAATGGCTCTTCTTTCTCTATGGGAAGATCTAAATGAAAACAGGCGTCATAACTGCACCAGACGTCGTCGTTACCCGTTTAGTGACTTGTTAGCCGATCTTCAAGACGAACTTGTCTCCGAATTGCGAAGTCTTCCTTCATTCTTCTCCGACGAATCTGTAAGCAGAAAACGTCTCAGAAGAGTAAACGATAAGGATGAAGGATTATTTATAGAGTTAGAAGAGACTAAACACTACGCTCCCGACGAATTAAAAGTTAAGGTTAAAGGTCGACAAGTCGACGTTACGGGTAAACACGAAGAGAAGGATGCAGACGGTAGCAATTATGTCTTTAGAGAATTCAGACGCACTTTCCAGCTTCCCAGGGATGCCGATCCCGAAACTGTAACTTCAGAGTTATCTAGAGATGGACTCCTGAGGATTCGTGCATCTCCATTAGACAAAGAGAAATCCATACAGATCGTGGTAGAAAGGGAGGAGACTGGAGAGAAGATAACCTGCGACGAGAAGGATGGTAATACTCAAGAATTAATGTAATCGGTGATAAAATCTCTCTCTCTTCATTATTTAAAACATTCCTTTTCTTATATCCTTGAAACTTAAGAGAGTTATAAATATGAACTCATGATATTTTGTAGTGATGTATTTGTTTTTTGAGTAAATAAATGTTTGAAAAAAAAAAAATAAATGATATCCTTTGGCACTGCAGTCTTTCTGTATTGATCTGTGCCATTTGTAGTCTGGAGAGATTGATTAAAGTGCTGCGACTAAATTTCAAACGTTCAGACAAATATGTGCACTTTATCATCATTTTAAAATGTGATAATACAAATTTTGAATTTGTAAAATTTCTCCATCGTTAAGTCTCGTTTACTATGTTTTGTGAGGAAAAACTTTAAGAAAATGATGGCTTCCTACATAATCAACTTTCTTTGCGATAATACAAAAGCTTTAACCGTTCGAGTTCAATCGTCACTCTGAAGTAGAGGTTTCTACAATTTAGCACGTTCTACATAAAATTAGAATGTACTTGAATAAACTTTTGATTACAGAGATTTAATAAAATCGAAAATAGTCGCGTGTATAATTCATAATCTTGATGTTTTCCGTTATAATAAATCTTGGAGCAATGCATTTAAAACTTTATTATAATAAAAATATATACACAAAGGAACTATGTGTATCAGTAAATATTAATTGAAGAAATATTTTCAATTTATTTTGAAATGAAATATTAAATTATAGTAAAATTTTTGAACATTTTAATTTGTAAAAATGCTTAATTATTCATTAGCGAAACTTGTATGTGACCTATAGAATTGCGTTCATTCTCAAAATCTGTTCGATCAATTTTGATAAAACTTTGCCATTTTCCATTGAATACTACGAAGAATCCAAAAATGAAATTAAAAAAAATGGGGATCCATGACTTCGTTTTCGAGATACAAGGTCCTTGCGATAAAGCGATTTCCCAGGATCGCTAGCACGTCTTCTGTGTAACTTATGTAATTGAGTTAGTTCTCAAAATTTGATAGGCCAATTTTGATAAAACGTTGCCATTTTATATTGATTGCGTTGAAAAATCAAGAAATATAGAAAATAGGGGTCCATGGTTCGATATAAAGTGGGATACAATGTCCGTGCTCCTTGAGCATGCCTAACGAAATTAACAGCATCGGGTGCACCTAACAGAAAATAGATGCAAAAAACGAACAGAGCACAAAAACAAAGCTATTGGTATCGATTGCTTTTGGTTTTATTCGTATACGGCAACGCGACACGTGAGCGATCTGCCCAGGAGAATGCCTCTCGGGAGGTCTTTTAGGGGAACTGGCCCTTATTTTGGTAATACTAACGTGAAGAAAACGTGGAAAACTCCACGTAGCCAGGCGCGAACTCACAACCAACCAATATTCATTGGTTTTATTCACTTAGCCACTGGTGAACATTGGAATTTATTGCTTTGTTCTTGGATCGCCTCTTCCGTAACTGCGAAGATAGCCTCTTTTGTGGCGGCAAGTGCAAACCTCGCCTGTTTGCGACTGTCAGGTACAAGGATCGCCTCTTTCTTTCCGGCTCCGCCTTTCTATCGCGATATGACAAAGTCGCGCGGTGTCCTAGTATATTTAAAAAAAGGACAGACTATCATATAAACACTGAAGAAGAAGAAGACTATCATATAAAATTATATTAACTTTTTAAAATTGTTTTAAATTAAACGCCATTTCTCCTTCTTCGGGTACCATTAAATTAATTTTTTTTTAAAAATCTTCTTTATTAATATAAAAAGACTTCATAAACGACTTTCTTCTAGATTTGAGTTACGCATACAAGCTTTTTTTTTTATTTTTTTAACTCTTTCCGCCCTGTGGGCACTAAGAGGGCCTCTTTTTGCAAGCCCATTATAGGTTCGGCCAAGCCCACAATGAGTCTGCCGGGTGGTGAGGGACGGGGCCTGACATATCCGAACGGACCACACCCCGAAAAATTCCTGAGGATTTTTCGACCCGTTCGGATTCGAACCCGAGTCCCCCAGAGCGGTAGGCTGCCATCCGGCCGCTTATGCATACAAGCTATTAATCAAGAGGTTGGTCACTGTAATAAGATCTAATAACTAGAGAAATAACTTTGATATTCGTATAACAACTAGTGCTCGCAATATAACTGATTTTCGATAAACCGTCGTTTTAGCGAAAAGCCGAAAACTGGTTTTGAGTAGGTAATGAAATTAGTGTAATCGTGTTTAATTGCGTTTTTTGACTTTTAATTAACAGTGAAAAACGCTGGGATTTAAGATATTTTCACATAACTAAAGGCCAGATTTATATGCGTTTAAAATTAAATTTGCGCTATTTAATTTTCTCCAATTTTTTTCTTCTATCTCTATTTCATCTCTCACGATATCAAGAAGAAAACATTCAGAAACTCAACTCGATAATATGAAGAGTTATATAACATTGGAAACAAGATATGATATGATAAAGGAATACGTAAATGGTGCAACCGTTAAAGATCTTTCAGAGAAATTTATGTTAGCTTTGACTGCTTCACAAGTTCGAAAGATAAGAAAAATTTTTAGCTAAAGTTAAGGAAGCGCAGCCTTTGAATGCAACTTGGATAAACACGATGGCAACTAAACACGCCAAAAGTTTAATCTTTCGAGTGGAGAAACTTTTATCAGCATGGATCAATGATCAAGCATAACCCTTGCATTTGTCAATGAAACAAGCTGTCATTTTCATGAAAGCGCTTTCCTCTTTATAAAGACCTTCAGCAAAAAGAAAATTCGCAAGAAAATTTTGTGATAGCAATGATTGGTTCGACCGTTACCAAAGGAAGAGCAAATTTACATTGTATTAACTTACGAGGTGAAAACTAGTACTTATGCAGATGCAAAATTCCGTCAAGAATTATAAGCCATCATTGAAGAAAATTTCATAGCATCTCAAATTTTTAATGTAGTTGAAACGGAACTCTTCTGGAAAAGAATGTCAGCAAAAACTTTCATTGCAAAGGAAGAATCTATAATGCCACATTTTATAGACGTCAAAGATCGTTTAGCATTGATGCTTAGAATTAGATGTTGAAATGCAGAAGGCGACTACCAATTAAAACACAAGCTCATTTATCGCGCAGAAAACCCACGAGCGCTCAAGGAAATTAATTAAAAAATAAAAAAATACAGCAATCAGTTGCTTAACTTTCCCCGCAACATTTAAAACTTCATGTGACGCCATCTGTTACGATATTTTATTTTTAAAATCTTTTTATATTTTTAATTGTTATAAAATGGCAATTATATATTCGGAATAGGGATGAATTTTATAAAAAAAAAAAAAATTGTAAATGCTAATAACGAGTAAATTCGTCATTAAGTCCGACCCCACAGAGATGACACACCACTTCCTTTATCTCCCCATTCCGTCAATCTTTAACCACCAAAATTTAATAGCATCAACCCTAATACACAAACTTCCTTGCAAAATTTCAGAAATTTTCGACAAAAAGCACAGGAGCTTCAAAGTGAGTAAGAAAATCGTGATCCTCCACACACACTATCATCCACACATACATAAAGAGCCTCTGAATTTTTCTTCCCCCTTTCTCGACGTTTCATTAAAGGTCACCGAGTTCAAAAATATAAAATTCTTGGGGGTCATTGTTTCACCGATCGCTATACTTTCCCTCTGTTAAATACAAAAAAGCTGGGAAAGTAAAAATTTTCAATTATTTGGGAGCATAATAAAAAAGCTTGGGTTACAGCCACTTTATTTGAAGAATGGTTTTATTAGCATTTTATCCCAAAAGTAAAAGATATAATGTAAAGAAAGACAGATTCTTTCTTTTCAATGTTTTTTTCTAATGGACAATGCTCCTTCTACCGTCAATTCTTAAGCATCAACATCCGAATCAACAATAGACCCAGGAGTGAAAGCAACATCCAAGCTTAGTATCTCCGCTACTCGTTTGAAAAGCTAATTGAAGAAATCGATAAGGAAGGAAATTCTGGATTTTTCGAAAGGCTTCAACATGCTTGATTCAATGGAAAAATTTATGAAAAGTATGGGGAAAAGATTAGCCAAAGAACATGAAAGAAGTTTGGAAAAACTGTCTTCGATGATAATTTTGAAAGTTTTGAAAAAACCTAAAGAAATTGTACAAGGTGAATGTGATAACATTGTAAACATTTTCTAACCTTTTGGATCTATTGAGGACTTATTACACACTATTGACGTTGTCGGAGTAATCACAAAGAAGTGGGTAGACACAGATTTATCCACTTCTGTGTGATTACTCCGACAACGTCAATAGTGTGTGATAAGTCTGACGCTCCATAGAGTCAAAACTTAATGCTCATAGTTTCATATTGTAACATAAGGACAAAAAGCAAATCATCAATTTTCTAATCTCATAATTTTGAAGTTTTCGATGACAACTGGTTGCTTAATTAATGCTGATAAGGAAGAAATCACAAATGAGGAATTGATTTAAATAGAAAAATTTGAATAAAAATATGACGATAAGGACGAAACTGCCGATTCCGATTACTGTTCGAGTTTAGGAGGCCTTAATAAAATTTTAAATTTTATTGAAAAGGCAGCAGAAAGTTTTGAATCTGAAGATTCAGATTATGAAAGAAGTTCTAAACTTGCTCATTTAATAACGAGCCAATTTCATGAATTTAATTAAATTGAGCCAATTTAATAAAGGCTCATTCCTGTTATTGCGAAATCTATCGGTCTAGGAAAAATAAGTCAACAAAACAGCTGGCACTTGAAGCCTTCATCGCATGAAAAGCATTTTTTATTATACTTCCTCTGTATTGAAAAAGTGTACACAGAATTTTCTTACAACAGAACGTAACTCCATTTAATGCATTGTTTTCTATATACATTTACTGGGTATGCCTAAATGAATACGACCAATATTATCGAATCTATTCTATTTGGCCTCTTGGCCATAAAGAGTGGAAAATTTGCGAATAGTACAGATTGATCGAAAATATAAGAGAAAATATGTGCAACGTGTTAATCGACATCGCAAGTCTAAATCAACAGCTTTCATACAATCTGGAGATAAAGTTTAGCGAAGAAACTTTTTCAGAAAAAACTACTGGTATTTCTTGTTTATGACTACGTCACTCGTTGTTGTTAGCAAACGAGGACCAGTCATCCACAGGTTTATCAGTCTCTCCAACATGCTTCAAACCCAAAAGTGATTAGTTCTAAAGAGGAAGGAGGAAATGTTGTGTCCGAATACAAGTGTTAGCAATTAACACCTCACTAATGGGAAGGACAACAACTTGTTTACTCTCTAGTCAGCTACCCTTATACCATACCAAATAGATTAAAATATTTTAATCTATTCGGTATAAG